TTGCTTTCCCTGTGGATTATCCAATAGGATGATTTAGACGGATCAATTATATCGACTATCGTTAACTTTTTAACCTAAATTTCAGCCTTAAATATGCCGAATTTAATATTTAACTAATGCTTATTCTAGATCAAGTTTGTTCTGTTTTATTTTTTATCTCGAAAACTATTAAAGATTGGTGTAGGTTATTATATTAGAAAAAAATTGACATATGGAAGTAGATTCGTAACTATAATAATATACCGGATGTTCCCTTTAAAATAACAAAAGATCTACAACCACTTTTAGAATGAACTGAAAAACTACAACACTGAAAATAATTTAGACAGATGGTGCAGTCATTAAAAAATCCATATATTCTAACGTGCTATGGCTGTGAATCACCCTATATATGATCCAGTATACAATATGATAACACTCGTTTTTATTTTTACTAGAATTTGAGAAACTATACAAACATGTGTTAAATTAAGTTTAGAGAACCTCGGTATTATAATTGTTTCTTAGATTCTTACTAACGTTTTTTCATTTCAATATCTATTAAGATAGTTGTAAAACCAAAAGGTTACCAATCTTACAAGTTACACTTTGTTATTCTTGCACCGATGCATGACATCATTTTTATTTTGTTTTTGTTAGGTCTTTTAGCAAGCTTTTTATGTTGCTGGTACTTGGAATTTTCAGTTACTATTTTTCAGTTTCTTTTAAAGTAGAAAATTAAATAAATCTAAATGATATATAGAAGTAATTTGAATTATTTTATGCGGAATAAATTTGTTTTGAAGTGTTACTGTTACTTCCTCGTGTCAGCAACTGCATATGTGGCTACATAACAATAAATAATCTATCAATAGATTCAGTGATATTAGTTATTGGAAAACTGGTTGGGTAGCCAAGTAAACTTGGTGAAACGGGTCATAGGTTTTATTTGAATTGTATAAGAAGATGCACAGCTACAGACTGTGCCGCTACAGAAAGGTCGATGTTACTACACTGTACCACTGTTTGTAGCTTCGATTTTTAATTAGATTAGTACACTGAATTGTCAAACACATTATTATTCAATAAACTCCATAGTGCCATACATCGTATTTTTCATATTTTTACTCTTCATTTCTTACCATATCCATTAGTCATTTTGCTGTTAGCACTTACGCAGAATTACGAAGTACACAGTGTTTCATTGTGTAAATATATATTTTTTTCATTTCTTTAAGTATAACCAGGGAGCAGAATATCTTAAAATAATATCATTTTAAGAAGATTTAAAATGACGTGATTTTAACCCATTCTGATACCTGGCGTAGTTAACTAGAAAGACATTTTTTGCAAATTTATTGATATTTCCTGAACATGCTTAAAACTTTATACTAATTAATTATTAAAATATTTAATAAAACTCTTTTTATAGAGTTTTATGTTTCATAATGACTATAACAATCCAGCAATCCTAGAAATTGATCTTAATAAAGGAAATACGATTTTTTTATCCACATATCTGTATAATATTTTTGATATGGTATACCAAGTAATGCCATCTGACTGATACTAGATACCATCTAGCAGAAGTAATAGAATATTCGGAAGTTGATAATTTTGTTTTCTTTTCCAATTGGAAATATTATTTATTTAGATTTTTACTCTTTAAGCCAATATTTATTCCTTTCGAAAACCCTAATAGTAAATACTTCATAGTTATAAAGACTGTGTCTTAAATATTCTATTCTTCACCTAGGCTAGATAAATTAAAAACTACAAAGAATGCTTTTAACATTTCTCGACTAAATGTTGCGATATTGTCGACACCATACTGCTACCAGCAAAATGCTTCCATCTACTGCTATATCTATACCCTCAAGCTTCACAGCGAACCATCATGAAAAATCTCATTTTAATTTTATTTTAACAGTACAAAACAACAAAATTTTAAACATAGCAAGATTTTGTGTCCGTCCATGTTTCTAGTCAGTATTTTTAATTTGTACAAATTGTTATTTGTTCTGTGATAAGGCTGATGAATAAAAATCTGCTGAAATTTTATTACGAAAGATTTATTGCGAATTTTAAATTCTACTTTGACCTTGAACCTTTCACATCAATATTGCAAAAGCAAGAAAAATATTGATTTATTATATTAATAATTAGTGGTGAATAATTAAATTAATAGTTAATTTATCTACTCTTTTATTAAACTATTCTAAAAAAAAAGAATTGAGAAATAACTATAAAGATCTTAAAGAGAAAAGTGAAAAATAAATAGAGGTAAGTAGGGCATCAACACTAAATTCAAAAGGTAAGTAAATAAATTCCAGTTAGTTGTTAAAGTCAATATATACCAATTTACCCACATTCAAAAATATTTATATAAAAAAGTCAACACAAAATATTTTGTCATTTCAAATTTTCTCAGAAAAGGTATGGAAATTTTGAAAGGTCATACGTTTGTATCTCATTGGTCGGCGGTATAAAAAACTTCCAGTGCTCTCAACTTTCAGTGGATTTAATATGATTTAATGGTTTAATATTTTAATATATTTGTCGGTGATATTTATTTTTCTGTTGCCGATAATTAATTATTATTGATTCTGACGTAGAATCCATTGTCATAGACTTTTTGATTTACAATTAGTGGAAAATTTACAAAAGAAAGATATGTATATATTATTTAAAGATATATCTTTCTTTTGTGAAGCAAAACAAATAATATATGTTAATACCTTATGTCTGATTCTAGTGAATAAAGGATAAGATAAATATACTTGGAAAGCCTATGATAGGATAGAAAAATCATTTAGCAATGACCAAACCAAATCATTGCTAAAGTTTATAATTTTTGATTTAAATTTAAATGTTATTAATTCTCAACTACTCTATAACAGACAAAATAATATAATATGTAGACATACAAATCTTATTAAAAAAAACTCTAAAAATACTATACTTAAAAGTAACTGAATATTAAAACAGAACAAATCCCACCCTTGTAAAAAGAATTTGATAGTATCTCTATTGGCGTTCTCAATTTTTTTAAGTGTAAACAATCTCTTTTATTTTTGACGGTAACTAAAGGTACCTTTTTTGGTGTATATACTCGCGGTAAACTGTGTATTTATCTCTCGGTAAGCTACTGGTAGTCGAAACTAGGTCCATTTGAATCATGACAAGATGGTGGAGGTGCAAAATGTTATTACGTACAATTAGTGTATCTATATTTTCTAATTTTGTTAATTGATAACTAAATATAGGTAGTATTATTTGACTATAAGAAGGCATAAGCCTTACGAAGTGAACATTACAGTGAGTGACAAAAAGTGTGTGAAAAGTTTGATAATTTTACAAAGTTGTGCAGCATTATTTTGTTTTTATAACAATATCATTTTAGAAAAAAATATATTTAAACCTATACTACCAATTACAGATATAATTCTTTCATTTGGATAAAACTTACTCTATTTCTTAAATACAAAATTATGGTTAGAAACAGAGCTATAGTAAAATTCTGCCAAATTTATTGACAGTCTTTTGTCTTTTGAATGTATCAAGCCAATGACAACTGCTTATTCTTTATAGTGTGTTCGAAATTGCAAGTTGGGATTTATAGTTTATTAACACTATTAACATTATAACAAACAGTTACATCAGGGTTGCCACCTTTTGTATTTAAAAAATTGTCGCCGGGAGGCACGTATAGCCGCCCATACTAAAATATGTTAATATCTCGAAAACTGCGACTTTGACTGATTTTGATGTTATTACAAATTTTATTGCAAATATTATTCCTAATCTTAATTTGAAAACCGCGTTTCGCTAGCTACTGTAATTTTGGACTTACGATTTTTTTAAATTTTTAACCTCCTCTTATACCCCCTTACCAACCCCCACCCCCACCAAAAACTAATACCCAGATTCTCGGGTGCCACAGTATTTTTGTGCCAAATTTGGTTAAAATCGGTTCAGCGGTTTTTGAGTTATCGTGTTACAAACGGCAGACGGACAGACAGACAGACAGATAGACAGACAGACAGACAGACACCATGAAAATATTTTGTATTTAGGTCATTTATGACCCAAATAACTCATTTTGAGTGAAATTAAAAAAACTTTTTTTTTGCCGATCTTAATAGCCTACCATACCTATTGGTATGGTCGGCTAAAAATCGGTACAGCACTAGTGCAACCCTATTTCTTAAATGCAAAATGTTGTGCCCATCGGATTTTAAAACAATATTTTATGCCTTTTTGCGTTAACTTAAAAAAACTATTCGATATTTATGAAAAATTATGTAAAAATAAAATGTGTCATGTGTCAACTCCCGAGGCCTCTGGCAAGGATGGTTCAAACCCCCAAATGTATTGAATATTTTTTATTTGTTTTGTCGCTGTAATAAGAGTCTTGTCATTTGTAATAAAATCTAAAAATTCGTATATGCGATATATTAAAATTAAATGAGATTTAACTTTATTAATATAGTAGTTAATATTAATATTATATTAACTGAACATCTATTTCTAGCGTCTGTCACTTCAACATTATACGTGAAAATATTTAAATCACAGCCTTAAACAATAAAAGCATATAATTTACGTTAGTTTTAAAAATACTTTATTTTTTTATCTATAACTTTTACATCCTTTTTGGTAAATTTTCTTTACGCAAGTTTTTATTATCGAATATTCATTAAACATAGTATCAATATCTACTTCTTTTAATTTTAAAATTTAAAAAGATTTTAATTAATTCGTGGAAAAGAACGACGTTTTTTAATAATAAATTTTTAATTATAAATTTTAGAATTTTATTGTTTAATAAAACGTGGCTATTAAACAAATAAATATCGGGACATTAGGGCTTTGAGTGGGGACGCGGGACTTTTGGATCCAAATCGGGACTGTCCCGACAAAATCGGGACGGGTGGCAACCTTGAGTTACATGTTTATCTTTCACTGAAAGATTACGAAATATTTTACTAGAAAAATTAAATAGAAAAGAAAACGCTCAGTTAACTTGATAAAAAATATATTTATTTTATTTGGTAACTTAGTATAACCGCAGATTATGGTCATATCAAAACTTACTCAAACAATGCAAACCTTACACCTATAAACTTATATGAATATTGTTAAACTTCACGCTTCATAAAAATTATCTTATATTAATTCAACACGCTTTAAAAATCGTCAATTAAAATAAATTTCAGACTTAAACATTTCATTTGTGAGCTTCCGGAGGACAGTCGGGCTGATTGCTCGGATGGGCCGCTAGGAAGGCAGGGTGAGTCTCCAGCTCTCTATCGATTCGCAGGATAATGGGGAACGGCCTTAGATCTACGTGAAATCTTCTCGCGTTAAAGACTTGAGGGATTAGGCAGCAGTCGGCTAGTGTTATTTCGTCTCCGACACAATATTTTCCAGCGCATGATCCTAGAAAATAAAATTAGAAATTAAAATAATACTTTTCATGAATCCTACATTATACAGGGCTATTCACCTCATAAGATATGTAGTATTGTAGCCAAACGATTAGATTATTACAAATGGTAAGTTTACAATTCGTTGAAAAAGGTCAAAATTCGTCAAAAAGTACAGGTGTCCCAAATAAATAAAAAACATAAAAGTTATATTTTTTTAAATGGAACACCCTGTATATCACTATATTTTTAGTTTCTACGATTAAAATAAAGGTAAATTTGATTAAGGATTACCGGATCGATTTTGTGAAAATGCAGTAACAATTTTAATTCTCCATTTATCTAGGCCTATTTAAGTTTTTAAAACCATATTGTACGGAAGTTTTTCTATTTACTAAATTTTGTGTTGCAATAATAAAAATTGTACTACCTTATACAGACCGTCTAAAAATTTATATTAAATAATTACTAGCTTTAAACGGCAATAACTTTTTAATTTAAATGGAACACCTTGTATATTTTGCATGAATTAGATGCACAATTTAATAGTCTATCAAGTTGTGTTATACCATATTTTACCTTTCTCTTCAAATTTTCGTAGAGAATGTGTTTTATTATAATTTAGACCTCACTTTTCAATATACTGGAATATCAGAATATATGGAATATTGGCATTCTAGATTTTTTAGGCAACAAATGTACAAAATGTACAGTTGCTAAAAACGATAATATTGCTAGCCTATTTGTTTACAAAAAGAAAACTATTTAAATCATTGCGTAAAAGAGTATACCAATTAAATATAGCACCATTGGCATCATTATTTCTGCCCTAATATTAATTAAGTACATACTTGTGTTAATTTAATTATGTTAGTTGATAAAATATTCCAAATAAATGTGGATTTGAATCAGGACTCAATATAATAATAAGTTATGAACGTGAACGTCTCGGTTGTTATAAATATGCATTCGTCAAAAAATGAAATAAAATTTATAAAGTCGTACTTTTTACCACACTGTCTATAATACACATAATTCAGTTATTTTAGTATTTAGAGCAATTGTTAATCAAGGCAAACAGTCAATTAAGAATTAATGTAGTTGGAGTACTGGGCTCATATTAATGGTCCTCTTTTACAAATATTTAAATAGTTTTTTTGGCGTTCCATTAAAAAAATACAACTTTCATATTTTTTATTTATTTGTGACTAGTGTTGCACAAGAGTCTTGAAAAAGTCTTGCAAGACCAAGACTCTTGCAAGAAATTCAAGACAAGACTTTCAAAATTTCTTGTCTTGAATTTCAAGACAAGACAAGACTTTAATATGCAAGAAATTTCAAGAGTCTTGCAAGATTTCTTAAATTTAAGATTTCTTGAAAGTTAGAAATGACACATTTTTTTAAGTGATAATTAGGGTGCCGGGTCACAGCGGCATCCAAGGCAACGAAAAAGCCGATGAGCTAGCTAGGCAGGGATCATCGGCATCCTATCTTGGTCCAGAGCCAGTACTGGGAATACCCAAATGTATGGCCCGTAGTAGACTAAAACTCTGGATCAAGGAAAAGCACAATGTCCACTGGAGAAACAGACAGGGGCACAGGCACAGCAAGGCTTTTATGTATACCTAGCTCTAAAACCGCAAAAGAAGTGCTAATGCTTAGCGGAATAAAGTGCGGATTACAACAGGCCTCTTGACAGGACACATGGCTGTCAAGTGTTATCTGAACAAGCTCAACCTGTATCAAGGAAGTCTTTGCTGCAGACTCTGCGATAAAGATCCTGAAACAGCGGAGTACATAATATGTCATTGCGAGGCTCTGGATCGCAAGCGACACCCTTTATTTGGGAAAGCTAGGCTAGAACCGGAGGAACTATGCTCCCATCCTATCAAGGACCTGCATAAGCTAGTGCAGGGCACAGGGATAGGAGAACGGGTGCAGATATAGAAGGGGGACAAACACAATAGGCCTCATAGGTCGCAGTGTTTCCGGCAGAGGACGGCCCCTTGTTATGGAAAAAAGTGATAATTAGGTCTTTGCGCAAGTTATGCCGGGTTTATACAACATTTACATAGTCGTAATCACAATCATTGTCATAATCATAAAAGTTAAACTATCCACTTCTTATAAACCTGTTGACATCTACCATGAACTTAGCCCTTAATTATGTTACCCAACTTCACTGATAAAAATTATGATTATGAAAATGTTCTATAAACGCACATTAAAATTGCGTTGTGACTATGATGATTATTAAGACTGTGATTATGATTACGACTTATGCAAATGTTGTATAAATCCGGCATTAATATTGACCAGTGTTCACTATTTTTTCTATCATAGCCAGTGTTTTAGAGTTGAGAATGAAATAAAATAAAGTCGAGGCAACAAACCGTATATTGGGTAATTGGTATTATACACAAAATTATTTTGGTATAATAGTATTATAAAAAAAACTAACGGTAGTTGAAACTAACGGCGGGGTCGTGGAGCACGCTATTTGCGTTATTTGGGACCACTTTTTATGCACTAAATTGCTCCGCGAACAAAAAGTAGTATCAAAGAGCGCAAATAGTCCACTCTAGCATGACCTTTCCGTACACCCTGTGTCCAAACTTTTCCAACCAATCTTCCATAATAAAAAAATAAAATAAATACCATAGAAAATGAAACTAACAAACGGGTAACCAAAATAGAACATAATTTACGACGATAAACGAAACGTAAATTTTTTCAAGACAAGAAATTTCAAGAGTCTTGCAAGACAAGACAAGACTTTGCCATTCAAGAAATATGCAAGACAAGACTTTGAAAATGTCTTGTCTTGAATTTCAAGACAAGACAAGAAATTGATTTTCAAGACAAAAATTCTTGTCTTGTGCAACACTATTTGTGACACTTAATACCTTTTGAAATAATTTTAAAATGTAACTTTAGTAGTCTTCCAACGATCCGATCACTCACAATTTCTAAAAATCTAATGTGTGGCTGTAAATCTCCGTGCCGAATAAGGTGAATAATACTGTATAAAGTTTTTGAAATGAATTCTTTGAATTTTGAACTCTCCACTTGGCTCTCTTGTTAATGTTACAGCAAAAAAAGTATGAAACAAATAATAAACTAAAATGTTCTAGAATATACATGAAGAATAAGTTTCGTCAGACAACCCTGACTAGAACATGGCGCCCAATGTGGGGGGGGGGGTAGTTTGTTGTGCTATCCTACTGTGCATTGAAAGACGATCCTATATTTTTATTAGTCCTTTAAATTCTAGTATTGAATATAAATCGAACATGTCTCCATAGCGCAGTGCGTAGAGTTTCCGACCACAATACATACATACTGCCATTACTCGCTGACGAGTATTCGACACGCATCAAAAGATGGCCACGCAAGGCGTTTTCTTTCATGAGCTTTTCTGTGACTGAAAAGCCCGATACGTGATGTTATTTGCCTACCGCACTCCGGACATGGCAAGCTTCGTTTTTGTACTCAAGTCATGATTGTAGAAAACCCTGTCTTTTAATTTCCAGAATGCTCTTGAGGCGTGTTTTTGCCCTGAGTCTTTTTATGTTGAACAGACCGCCGTCATATCTGTATCTAATGCCAGCTAATGCCCAGTCGTCTCTCCTGCAGTTTGCTGTCCACTATAATGGAGATCGCTGCCATGAATATGTTGGAGGCGCTAAGACACTACGCTATATAGGAGAAGCGCTAAGACACATCCCTGCCTAACTCCTGTATTTGTTAGGAAGGGATCGCTCAGTGATCCATGATGTGACACTCTTGACTTGTTGTTATGGAGGCTTTTACACACTGTAAGAAATTTGTTGGGTACTCCGAACTTTTTCATAATTGCCCAAAGTGCATCTCTGTTCACAGAGTCGAAGGCTTTTGTTAGGTCGATGAATGTAACATAAAGTTTAGACTGCTGCTCTTTTACTTTTTCCTGTAGTTGGCGGATGGAAAATATGAAATCGACGGTGCCACAGTTGGTGCGAAAACCTGTTTGCGATTCCGGAAGGATTTTTTCTATATGTGGGTGTAGGCGATTTGACATAATTTTTGCAAGAATTTTTCCTCCGATAACCAACAGTGAAATTCCCCGGTAATTTCCGCAGTCTGATACACTTCCTTTGTTCTTAAATATATTCACTATATTCACATTGCAAAAGTCCTGAGGTACCTCTCCGCTTTCCCATATGACATCGAAGAGGTGACCAATAAGTTCTTTACTTGCACACTTATAGATTTCCGCCTGGATCGCGTCACAGCCAGCTGATTTATTGTTTTTAAGCTGTTTTATGGATGCCATTATTTCCTGTTTTGTTATTGGGGTATCCAATACATCGAGGCTATTATACTGAGGTATTGTTTTTAGTGCTTCCATATTGGGGTTAAGGATATGGATGTAAAGCTCTTTCCAGCGGTTTCTAATTTGCGCTTCTTCTTTTAGAAGTTCGCCATTTTGTGCCATGATTGGGCAGCGTACCTTCTTGGTTGGGCCGTATACTTCTTTTACAGCCTCGAAGAATTTACAATAATCGTGATGCGTGGCGTACTCTTGAATCTGATTAGCCTTTTGTGACTGCTTGATGTGCTCTATGCTTTTGTTCCAACAAGGTTGATTTTCGTTAAACCAGTCTGATTGTTTCTTTTTGTTGGACTTTCCCAGTACTGCTTCGCTGGTTTTATGAATCGCATCCCTTAATTGTGTCCAGCCTTTCAAGATTGAGATTGCATCCCTTAATTGTTCAGCTTCCAAGATTGAGATTGTAGTTATTGGTGGAAGTGATACTTTGATGGCTTCCCGGAGGGCGTCGGCGGCATTTTTGGTCTCCAGACGCCGTACGTTCAATCTGGTCATGTTGCTTTGCTTTTTACAGTGTGGATGTTTGAGTTTTAACTGGATTTTCATTTTTTAAATTAAAAGTCGGTGGTCAGTGCCGCATTCGGCATCTATTCTGGCTTTTATGAGCCTGACATCTTTTAGATGCATCCTTCGAACGATTACGTGGTCTAATTGATGCCAGTGACCTGATCTGGGGTGTTTCCAGGTACCTTTAAACTTGTCCTTCAACATGAACCACGTATTGGTGATGCATAGATTATGCTCTGTGCATATTGTTAATAAGCGTTCACCATTGTTATTTACGTTTCCTATTCCATGTTTTCCCAATACGTCGGGCCATATTTCCTGTTGTCTGCCGACACGAGCATTAAAGTCACCTAGCAAAATGATACGTTCGTGCTTTGGAATTCGTTGGAGAGCATTTTGTTGAGCTTGGTAAAATTTATCCTTATCCTCAATTTTAGCGTCTAGGGTGGGAGCGTAGGCACTGATGATGTTGACGTAAGATTAGTCTGATATGGGGTACCTTAGAGTCATAAGACGTTCGGAGACACCAATAGGTACTTCTGTTAATTTAGTGGCGATTTTGTTTTTGATTGCAATGCCTACGCCATGAATTCTCCTGTGTGTGTTGCGGGGTGACCTTTCCAAAAGAAGGTGTAATGCTTCTCAGTGAGACTACCCTCATCCGCGAAGCGGGTTTCGCTAAGAGCGGCAACATCTATATTTAGTCGGTGGAGTTCCTGTGAGACCAGTGGCTGTTCTTCTCTCTGGTCGATTTGAATTTACCTTGTCTAGTAGAGTGCGGACGTTCCACGCCGCAAACGTGGAACACTGATGTTTTTTGTTCCTCCGATAATACGCTCGAGTAGGCACCCCCTCCCGGAGATCCGATTGAGGGGGTATTTTACCTCCGGATGATGATTTTGTCCCACTCGAATGTTCCATCATTGATGTGTGTTAGCTGCGTGAAAATGTTTAACTGTAACGGTTACGCTGCCGCACAGTTTTGGCTGCAACTGTAGCACGGGATGACTATGGCACAGTGAGGACCGCGACGATAGTTCCCTTGTGCTACGTTCTCGGTCGGCTTGGAGTAGTTTACAACCAAACAAAACCGACCACGAACCGATGATTCAGTTCGAATCCGGGTCAGGGCAAATACTTTTTTATTTTATTTTCGTTTATATTCTGATAGTAAAGTATTAAATATTGTTTTTTTTAATCGCCAGAATTATTTATTATACGGGCCGCATGCTGTTCCAGAGAGCATAACAAAAGATATATCAAAGAGCCAGACGTCTTAAAATACTTTCTCGAAAACGTTGTTAGCTCTTAGACTATTAAAAACGGGTGTGTACTTTGTTGTTTAATATCGAACCATATTTATGTAATTCAAAATTAAATAGACAAACTGCTATATTATTTAGTTCTGTTATAAATTTGAAGTTAGCTAGTTTTTAAGGTATATGTTTTATACAGTGTAACAGATAAAGTCCGTATCATGGAGTTTTTTATGTATTGGCGTCAGTAGTTTCTACTTTGATTTATATTAAAAATTACTTGCTTGTTCTCCCCGGGTATCTGTCAAATTTAACATGCAGTGGCACAAACAAATGGCTAAAAAATGTGTTTGATGGCAGAATTTCGAAAAACTTTATTGGAAAAAGTTGTTTAATTTTACATAAGTGTGCCAATTTTCAGCCATCTACAGTATGTCCCCGGATTGCTTTTACATAAGAGAGAGAAAAAAACCTTTTTTATTATTGACATTTTGAGAAATGTGCATTCTTCATAAAAATTTTTGCTTGTTCTAAAATGATTAATCCCGTTTATAGTTTTCCGCATACCGTAACCATATATTAAATAAAAACATGAAAACATGGTTGAATTTTTTCAAAGTCTTAAAAATCAACAGGCGTTTCTATGATAATATAATTTCGATTTCATTTCTTGATAGATAGTTATTATTAATTTAATTTTTAATTTTAATTAACGTCATGTTTTTTGCTGATATTAAAGTATCACATTTTTCGATAACTATTATTATCACCCTTTCCGTAATATTGAACTAAATGTCCACACACTACGTCAAAGGATGGACGACATTCATCAGAGAGTCCGCCTCAATATTCAAAGTGCTAGTGACCGAATGAAGGAACACTACGACATCCAAGCTGAGCATGGAGGATACCAACCAGGGAAGTTGGTGTGGCTATACAACCCGCAGAGACGTCGTGGGTTATCTCCGAAGCTACAATCCTCGTGGGAAGGGCCATACGAAGTCATGGATAGGATTAATGACGTCGTATACCGTATCAGAAAATTGCCAAAAGGAAAACCGAGGGTAGTCCATTTCAACCTTTTGAGCCCCTACCAAGGCGAAATAGAAGATCGTGCTGGGACCGTGAGAATCTGCAGCTTTGATCCCCCTGATTCGGAGATGTCCGAAATAAATTTTATGCTTCTGTAGCATTTTTAAAACAGCCAAAATATGACGTTAATTAAAAGTATATCAATAACAATCTCAAAGAACAATCTTTTAAAGAATGAAAACCAAATTATACCTATTACCATAGAAACGCCTTCGGATTTTTAAGACATTTAAATAATTCAAGTATATTTTCATGTTTTTTTATATTAGTATTTTAATAAATTACGCTTTTAGATGTATCAAAAAATTTTAATAAGAGTAACTTTAACTCTACATATATGTTTCGGCTTGTTAGTCCTATTCAAGAGTTTTTTTAAAAACTAAAACTGTTATATTAGTTATTAAAACTGTTATATTATAAAGTTTTAGTTTTTAAAAAGCTCTTGAAAAAGGCCCAACAAGCCGAAATATATATGTAGAGTTAAAGTTACTCGATATATGGAATTATATAGTTTGAATCACGCAAGCTAATATTATTTTTACATTATTTGACTTTTTATAAAAAAAATATTTATTTTTGCAAAACATTGAACTCAATACGTAAGTACCTACTAGCTAAATATTTGAATGAGAAGCGGGTTTTTATCAGTTATTTTTGCTTCTATCACGATAATCGGTAGCTATTGATTAAAAATGACGTAAACAATTGTTTCATCTAGATGGCTGAAAATTGGTATATTTATGTAAAATTAAAAAAGTTACTTAAATGCTTTTTTTATAATTTTACTACATATCAAATTTGGCATATACCCGGGGACAACAGAGTAAATTTTCCTATGTAATTTTTAATCTCAATCAAAGCAGAAACTGTCGCTCAAGTCAAATTTTACTTAAGCCAATAAATAAAAAAAGTTCTATATTGTTGCGGACCCGTGTGGACTTGGCCTAACCTGACTAATATTCCCCGCCCCCATTCGAGAACGAATGGAATAATCTAGGCGGCTATAAACATTCGAGTAAAATCTGGACTGTCTGTTTCTCTCATATACAGGGTTCGGCAATAGTGCGTCGGGCATCTGTAGCTCCTAGAATAAAAAACTTAGGAATTTTGTATAAGTGCAAACCTATAGATACTAGGATCTATTTCAGAAAAATATTTTAACTTCTATGGGGTGGCTCAAAAAAGTGTGAGTGGATGGGGATATTTTTTAGATGGAATACCCTGTATATTATTGTATTTTTGGCTTCCTTTCAGATCACTTTACATTATCCTAAGATATGATTAAATATATTTTGATAGTTTCAGAGATAATAAATAAATAAAAAAATATATATATTTTTCAGTCTTCCTTAAAAAAATATAAAAAATACAAGAACCTGTCCTGATATCAAAACTATATTAGGTATTTACTTTAAATGGTCTGCACTTACTTTGCTATAAATATGGTAATCGTAAAGCATACATGATGTTCAAAATTCTATACCAAACTTTGTACAATATAAAATAGTTGTTCTTCGTTTTTTTAAGTGGTACACCCTGTATATTATTTTTTCAATAGATGGAGAATGAAAAAATATTTCTTTTTGTATTTAGAGTATTTCAAAATTTTTAACGGTTTCGCAGATATTCGCGGTTTTATATTTCATAATATGGCATTTTCAACAGTAAATTTTGATCAAAGCCACCCAATAATTTTTCTCCAGTCATATGAAATAATACTGCGTGTATCTGCGAAACGATTAAAAATTTTGAAATACTCTAAATACAAAAAATATTCATTTTTTAACTCTCCATCCAATAATAAAATAATATACAGGGTGTTCCATTTAAAAAACCAAAGAAAAATTACTTTATATTTTAGAAAGTTTGGCATAGAACTGTGAACACCCTGTATGGTTTAAGGTTACCATATTTATAGCAAAGTAAGTATAAAACAGCTAAATATCTAATATAGTTTTGTTTTCAGGACAGTTCTTATATTTGTAATAATTTTTTTAAGGAAGACTGAAAAATATATATTTTTTATTTATTAATTAATATCTCTGAAATTATCGAAGTACTCATATTTTAGGATAATGTAAAATTATCTGAAAGGAAGCCAAAAATGGAATAATATACAGGGTGTTCCATTAAAAAAAATCATCCCGATCCAGGCACACTTTTTTGAGCCATCCTATAGAAGTTAAAATGTTTTCCTAAAATACATCCTCGTAGATACTTTAGGTTTGCACTTATACAAAATTCCTAAGTTTTTTATTCTAGGAGGTATAGATGCCCGACGCACTATTGCCGGACCCTGTATAATCCGACGCCTGGGGCCTGAGGAGATCAGAAAACAACAGATCGGTCGAAGCGTACAATTGCCGCGCTAAATTCAAAATAAATTCCTTTTAGATAAATAGTAGATAAGTTGTAAATAGTTTTCAAGTAGTTTTATCGTTATTGTTTTGTTACTTAGTTTAAAATAAATTGTGTTTAAATAAATTAGACTTTCTATCCAGACGGAATCGACAAAAAAAACGTAACAATATGATGCGATTAACCTGGATACTGGATATAACCTGGATACACTGTATAGGTACTACTAATGATTTTAAAAATGTATAAACTCACTTTAGCTCTTTTAACAATGTCTCCTGGCAATAGTGGTCTGCTGTGCGTTCTGGTCTCTTCCAAATAATGCATTATACTATTAGATTCGATGAGAGTGACACCATCTATAAATAAGGCCGGTACTTGTTCCATAGGATTCACCTCCCGGTACTCGTTGGAATGTTGTTCACCGCCAGCTTTGATAAGGGATACCGGCTTGATTTCATAGGGTATTTCTTTTAGATTTAGAGCTAAAAAAATATATTTCTTTATTAACAGGGTTATAAGTCATTAAATGTAATAGAGGAAATATTTAAATCGGGAACACAAAACAACATGGAAGAAAAAAAACTGTTTAAAACATCTAAATACAACTATCCAGAAACTATTAGTTCGCTTTAACAGAACGTCTTTGATTTATAATACAAGATTGTAAGAATTGGGAAGATACGCAACCTAAAGGGCTAATTTGTGACAAGATTTGATTTCTCTTTATCAAGTGCTGTACGGTGGAGCCATCATTCGTTCTGCGGCTAACGAATAAAACACTAATTTCTTCTAATTCGGCCGGCGAAGGCATATCGAAGACGGTGTGGAACTGAAAGCAACAGTGCTGTGAGATTAAATTGTGTAATATCGGTAATACGTTTGACGAAAATATTTTGAATGAAAATTTATTCGTGTTAAACATAGAATAAACAACAAAAACAAGTATTCTAAATATAAAAAATATTTCAATCCTTCAGTATTTTTTATTTCATGTAAAAGAATAGATGAAACAAAAAGCAATGTAATATCACGGCACATAAAACAATCGGCACGCCAACTCTACTCAGATTCCATTGTTTAAAATTTCTATAAAATTTGACCTTGTCGGCGCCATTATGGTTTCCTAGTCAGGGCCGGATTAAAACGTATTAAAAAATTTCTCAGAAAATACGACAGGGTCGTATTAATAAAATACTGTATATTTTAAAGAGTTTTTTTCTTTTCTTTAAATTTTTTATGCTTCTGACTACGGGAGGAGATATACCTCCTCTGAAACGTTAAGCATTTTTTGTTGGTTAGGCAAATAATGTTTTACTAGTTATTATTAACAGCGGTGTTTGCGAAAAAATACCTTTTTTGTTTAGTAAATTTTCCTTCGGGTAGCATAACAAACAGACTTTTTTCAAGTAATTATACTTATTAATAATACTTCAAATAATATAATATTTTTACTTTTATGGAGTTTGCTTATTCACAAACACTTAAACAAAAATATATTAAAATTTGAGTTGTGGTGTATCTCGATATTAAGTCTTCTCTAAATACAGAAATGTTTAATAAATTCGGAAAATTAATTTTTTTATACACCCGTATATGGACTAATAAATCCTAGATAATAAATAATAAAAAAATATTGCAATACAAAGTTGTCAATTTTTTTAAAATAAAAAATATATTCTGTAAATTATTTTCAAAATCCTAGAGAAGACTATGATGAAACTTTTATATAAAAGATGTTAAATCTGATAGTTTACTAATGCAATATTCATAAAAGCCCAACAAAATGCTAAAAAAGGCATTATTTAGATAGAGGAGAATAAGATAGATAAAATAGGATATAACTGACTAACGTTACTACATCATTGCAGTTTCGAGCAGAATTTAAAATATCCAGAGAAGAGATATCGATGTGTCTGAATAAAATAAGTTACTAAATTGACGCAATAAGATCAAATAGCAAACCGTTTTGTAAATTGTAAGAAAAAACTTTTTTTTCATACGCCACAAGAGTATTAATTTTTGCGACGTGATTGGCAATATAAAAACTAATTTTAACGCCTAGGTATGAAAGTAAAGTGCCTTTAAGCCTAAGCATAAAAGTACAAAAATATATTATTAAACTGACATAAAGTGTCAAATTCAACGGACGCGGACATACCATAGTCTCTAGATGTATAATTACATACCGAGGTATGACTTTTAAATCTTTTTATATTATTTGGAACGTTTGAAATTGTTTAAAAACTTATTTGTGGCATTTGAATGAAAAACATGTTCTATTCGGAGTAAAAATGACTTTTTGTGCTCCGGCTGTATGTCGGACCCGCTAACGCTCGTCCGTCAAAGGTACAGCTTCACCACAAAAAGGATAATTTTTCCTCCTAATAAAACAATATAAATATTATTGCTGCAATATGTAAAAGGGGGAGATAATTTTTTTTAATAATACAATATTCATAAAAATTCAACTAATTACTAGAAAAAATACCTAACTATCGAAATAGACATTGTAGGTCACATTGTTGAAAATAAATTATTAAGAAAATAATTAAATTACCTACTTATTTTTATGATTTATGACTCTTACATATCGGAAATAAACAATGCAATTAAATGTTCTTAACATTCTTGTATAATATTAGTATTTTTAATCTTTGGAAATAAACAAGCTTATTGTTTATAAATCATATTATTATTATCATTCATATTTTTCCTAATAGATACATTTATTGCTTCATAAATTTAAAGTTAAATATTTTGTAATGGAATTATTTTATTAATTTATGAAATATATCTCTCTTAAATTTAGTTTTGACATAAATTCCATTTCACAAGAACGTAATAATATCCTGTCTATACAGCAGAAAATTTTAAATCAAAATACAAAAAACAACAAATATATATATTCAAAAATAAATATTATTGTTAAACTTAACATTAAACTAGTATGATTGTTCTTGTATTAGTTTATTGGTAAAAATATTTGAACTAAATTCCAAAATAATATTTCAGCAGGAAAATCATATATTTTACTGTAATACTTGTAACTACAATATATAAATATTGTCGATACATTTGTGATTAGTTTATTTCTGGAAACAAAAACAATCACTAATAATATCATTGTATTTATCTTCGGATTTCTGTTTAGTGGCAAAATACCTAGCATTTTTTCCAGATACCACAAATTAGGATAAAATATCAAGAATAAAATTATAAAAAATATTTACATCTATAAGTATAAATAACTCACCTATTCTAACTCTCCAAGAGCACGAACTTCTCCAGTAGGAATAGAGCACGGTCTGAAAAAGAACAAACGCGTATTTAAGTTATTTCGCTCGCGTAAGGTCAGGGTCAGATCTGGATCGGCCGCAACACTGGCCTGTCCTAACTGTCAGACACTATCGGCCCATTTCCCAAAGCCACCGGTACGTGTCGACACCGTCCACAACCTCAAAATCTTGAAAATAACATTACCTTGCCAGCCGCTGACGCCATGCCGGACACTATTCCAGGATAAACCAACTGATAAATTAGCGGAAAAATAAGCAAGTGCACTCCGACGCCGTCGATCTAAAGACACAATCCGCCGTCGTCGTCGTCAAGGGAACGACGGGAATTCTAACCCCGAAAAGTTTCTTGGTTCGGTTTCTTAGGAGGCTCGATATCGGCGCAAAGGAGAAGGAGAGAAAACGTAAGTTTAAGTGAGAGGAGAGGGTTTACCCGGCGAATGTATGTGCGAATCGGGCGAAGACCGAGATTGAAATAAGACAGCGAGAGACTGGCGAGAGTCTGGAGTCGGGTAGCACGTGCGAGACGATCGGAGGCGACAGGTTTCTCGTTTTCGCAAACTAGTTTTCTTCAACGAAAGATTTTTTTCCTGGTGGATATTAATGTCCTGAAATTAAGGAGGGATGTGATTTTAGTTGTGCGCTTCTTTAAATCAAATCATCAATATACGGAGTGATCGAATAAATATCGACGTCAAAATAAGTTCAAAATTGTTATAATATTTCTGGACTTTACGCAAGTGAAAATACATTATTGATAAAGGTGGATGGAAGTTTAGAATGTCTATATTAAGCGTTAAGAAGGTCAAAGATGAAGATGTAGAGTAGACTCCAGTTTTTTCGTCTGAGCCAAAAGATACGGTTTATTTAGTATGTGTTGAAATTATGGAGTTATATGCTTCTTTAAATCAAATCAATAATGTACAGAGTGATCAAGCACAAACGACTTATTATATATTAGTTCAAAACTGATATATTTTTGAACTTTGAGCTAAGCGATAAAAACATATTTTACAAAGGTGGTTGGACGTTTAAAATGCCACACCTGTCTTGGTATATTAAGAATTAAGCAGGTATAGAAGAAGGTTTAGTGAAGATTCTGCAATTAAATTTGCCTGAACCAAATCGCATGTTTAATATAGTGTTGACAAAAAAATTAAGTGACTGGCTATGTATGCAGCCAATTAAAATATGATTGGACCAGGCGCCCTCCAACTTATTGTCAATCGTAGCAGTGACAGATAATATCGAATACACCATACACAACTTCAAGAAATGATAAAATGAAACATGCAATTGTGAGTCTTCAAATTGTATCTGAAATTCTCATCGGATATTGTGAAGATGTTCACAAAATCAAGCTAGGTGACACAACACTTTGCATTGAATGTAAACACGAAGATGAGACCCCTGTTGTCCATTTACCTAGAAAATATGTTATTAGATACTTAATAGCAAGCGTTGGGTTCCGTTTGGTAGTACAATAGCAGATGTTTGTGTAAGATGAACTGGGGGTTGGAAACAAGCTCTCGTTGACACGGAGTGATGTAACGGGTAATATTACCGGTAATTTTGGTAATATTAAGTAATATGACCGCAAGACTTGTAACATTGGAAATATTGCTTTTTTTCCGCTCTACTCATTTTCATTTACCCAGCAGTAAAATAAGTGTGTTGGCTGCAGATATTTTAAATTTACCATTGTCAACACCCGCAACCCAAAGAAACTTTAGTACTTATGGGTTTGTTCATCAGCCAAGAATGGACAGACTTACCGTGGAAAGGGCCGGAAAACTTACTTATATTGCCCATAATTATAATTTACTAAATGAAGAACATCCCAGAATGGTAGAAGCTGCTGAGAAAGAACTGGAAGAAAAATATATTGATTTCGAAGTAATAGACTTGACTTACTTAACAAAAGAGAATAAAGAACCAAATTATTAGATTGAGAATGATTAACAATTATCCACTCTATTCGTACTATAACATTGGTCAATTGACTCTGACTGGTTTAAAAAACGTTTTTGTATTTTTTTTTGGAATGTTTTTACAATTTTGAAACAAAAAAAAAAATTTAATGATAAGATATTTTTTTACCATTGCTAATTTATAAGAATAAATTACCAATGTTACCGTAATATTACCGGTAATATTACCGATTTATAAATTACCGGTAATTTTACATCATTATTGACTCATCTATTGAGACATAGCTTTCAGAAACCACGCACAGGCCCTGCTTCAATAAACCAGGTAAAACTTCAAAATATCTAAAACTGGAAGTAACAGTTTTGTGCAGAATTTCAAATATCCAGAGAAGAGCAATCTATCAGTTTGAACAATATAAGTTACTAAAATGATTAAATGACAAACCGTTTTTAAATTGTAAAAATGCTTTTGGCAACAATGTCATTGTAGGTAACGTCCGGAGTCAGTAACTAGAGTTTTCCCTGGATATAACAAAGTCAATGGTCATCTCCACAAAATGAAGCTGCAGTGAATGTAAACAGGAAGATGAGACCACTGTTGTCCATTTTTCCCGAAAATCTGTTTTCGAATTCTGAATAGCTTGCTTAGAGTTGTTGCTGCTCTTAGTCTGGCTTGTATATTGGCAGATGTTTGGCTAAGATGAACTTGGACTGGAAACAAGCTTTGTAGACATAGCTTGCTGAAGCCATACACAAATCGAGGTTCAATAACCTAAACTTTAAAATAACTTAAACTGAATTGCAGTTTCCTGCAGAATTTGAAATATGCAGAGAAGAGCAATCGATCAGTTTGAATAAGTTAAGTTACTAAAATGAGCCAAAAAAATGAGCTAAAAGGAAAAAAGTTTTGCCCCACCCTGGAAAAAATCCTGGCTGCGCCCTTGGTAATGGATGTGTGTTGTACAAAAAATCAGAATATATCCATTGCTCATAAAAATCTGCATTGACTAGTAAACAATACGTGTAAATTATTTAGTATATATTTGTCGTTTCTCATCTTTCCAGTATTATATACAGGGTGGCCCATCGAAAACGTTCCGTAAGGCATAACGGCCAAGGTATTTCTTTTTTCAAAAAATCCAAAAACACGTCAATTTTGTTTGTGAGGGGGACAACTTTTGCCCCAAAAATGATTGCAAAATCTTCAACCCTCTAAGCGGGGGTGTCATCCCTCAACTTTTTTCAAATGGGAAGAGGGGTCAAGGGGAAGGATAAATTATTTCGACCAATTTGAGGTTTTTTCTTATTATTTCTAGATGTTTATGCATTTTTTCACTTGCCGCAAGGTTGAACGATCAGGTGCGGTATTTGCTAGATAGCTGTTATTTGCTAGATAGTTGTCCTCTCAATATCGTTAAACTTCTTAACAATTATGGTGTATTCACTTGCAGAAAAAGTGGAAATAATCGAACTTTATTTTAACAATAATGAATATATCGGGTTGCGCACATATTCAACGAACGCTATCTTGACAAACACCTTTATGGCAAAATTGTTCGCGAGTTAGTAGCAAAATTTCGCGAAACTGGTTCCGTTATGAATAAAAAGAGGCAGAGCCTGTAGTAAATGAAGCTATGGAGGTATTCGTATTGGGCCAAGTTGCCATGGATAGTACGCTGAGTACAAGAAAATTAACCAATAAGACCGGCGTAAATCGTACAAGTGTCCAAAGGTTTTTAAAAAAACACAAGTTCTACCCGTACAAAATTCAGTTGGTACAAGAACTTAACGAAGACTTATTTGTTGTTTAATAGATCAACTACAAATCATATTAGGAATTATATTATACAGGATGTCAAAAAATAGTATATCTAACTTGAATAGTATATCTAAACTGGATAAAAATAAGACAAAAAGTTCCTATAAACATATGCCCGAAAATGCTTCCCGGGGAAGTTACAGCCCTTAAAAGGACAAATAAAAATAATATATTTTGTTTATTTTTAAGAACATTGCTGAACTGTTTTTTTTTTGAATTTGGTACTCTTACACAAATTTTAATGCCAAAGCGAATGGCGACGGTGTAAAATTCTGTAACAGCCCTGAAACTGACTTTCTGACAGCCCTGACTTTCCATTAGGGTAGAAGGTGGTGGTACATTGGTGATACTTAAATATATAATTTCAACAAATGACAAAAAAAGCTCGGACTTTTTTAAATAGAAGGTTCTCTTCGTTTAGTTCGAAACAGTATACGGTTTCAAGATAATTGGGATTAAAGATTACGATGCATCAATTTTAGTATTAGCCAAATCATGAGATTAATTCATTTATAATTTCCTTACATTTTATCATTTTGCTAATGATAAAATTGATGCATCGTAACCTTTAAACGTAAATATCTTGAAAACCGTTCACTGTATCGAACAAAAGTAAGAGCACCTTTTTTACGTGAAAAAGTCCTAGCTTTTTATGCTATTTGTTGAAATTACTGTATCTATAAAGATAAAAGAAGTACCACCAGTAGTACTCTCTGCCATAATGAAAAGTACCTTTTCAGGGCTGTTACGAAATTTTACACTATCACCATTCGCTTTGGCATTAAAATGTGTGTAAGAGTACTAAGTCTCAAGAAAAACGGTTTACCAATATTCTTAAAAATAAACAAAATATATTATTTTGAAAAACCCTGTCGAGGGCTATAACTTCTTCGGGAAGCATTTTAAGGAATATGTTCATAGGAACTTTTTATCTTATTCTTATATATAATATAACGAAACGTTTCTAAAGCATTGAATAACTTCCTGGAAACCAGGATTTACTATTTTAATAAGTCCTGAAGTTTGAAACCACCTCTTCAAACACTATGTGCAATATGAGGGGACTGAATTTTACTTAGGAGACTTCTAAAATGGAATATGTATGCATCTGACAGTTTCCTACATCCAGAAATTGTTCTTAGAACTAACTAAACTAATAATGCCAGCAATTTGAAAGGGGGCAAAATGCACGTAATGGAAGTTTAAATTACACAATTTTGGTAAAATAATTCCATAATTTCATTAAAACATTAGTGCTAATAATTGGTATATGACAAACATACAAAACCAAATAACATATATTTTTCTCTATAAAATACTTTTATTATTAATTTGCTTGTGTGCTTTATTTCATTCCAAACACAGTTTCACAATAATGTGGTTATTTATATTCCTGTTATCGAGGAGAACTAGAATTTAAATTATTCAGCTAATATAATTATAATAAATTAACCATCAGTTAACTAAATATTTGCTGTTTGAATATTTGCATAATAAACTTGTTTTATTAGAATTATTATAAACAATAATTTAATTTTTAAATATTCTCATTCAATGTTATAGAGGAAAAATAAAATAGAAGATACACTTCAAGTTGAAGAAATAAGGTAACAATAAAATATTTGAAAATTATTTAAAATGTAAAATAATTGGTGGAAACCATATATTTTCTATATTTTTCTCTTTATTTAACTGTTATGGCTATTCTTTTGTTGGTACTGAAGAAAGATAAGAAAATATTTTATTGAAAAAAAGACAAATTATTATTACAAATCGACACTTAAAAATGTTC